GAAAGAGCTTGAGGTTAACAGAGTTTTGTTGACTATATCAGCAGCTTCAGGTGTGCTGCAGGCATCACAGTTTCTTCTCTCAGTTATTGCCCTGAAAGCATGAAACTGAAATTCAGTTCATTACCAAGCAGTCCTACATCAGGTGCGCAAGCCAGTTTATTTAACACAAATGGCTAACTGGCAAGTTGTAGTAGTACTGAATAGCTTTTGTTTCAGAAAGAGCAAGCAGCAGCTCTAGAGAAAAATCCCAGCAGACCAAAGTAACTTCAGATGTGTAAACTGAAGGAAGCAGCATATATTACTCAGTTTCACACAAACATATTAGATACAAATTTATTGAAATAGAAGATGAAACTACAGTAGATGCATTTCAGATAAAACACAAGAAAATCAGAGCAGCATTTTAGCCTGTGCAGTTTTCTTTGATAACAGTCCCAGAGAACAGAAAAATAGACGAATGAGCAGTTAAAGTTTACAAAAAGCTAACCACAAGCAGTATTCTTTTTAATCTAAAGCAGGCAAATATTTCTCTTTTGTAAAGAATTGGTAAGTGTGCCTGCAAGGGAACAGTAAACATTTCGAGGCTAAATAGCTGCACAAATGCATTAATTCAATAATAAGTATAGAGGACACATGGCCTATCTGCTGAGCCATGCATGAGTCAATAACACTGGCTGTCAAGACTCCCCTATTAAATGATAACAAAAGGCACCTAGTAAGAGATGGTGAAAATCAATTAACTGGGGAAATAGCAAGAGAAATAAAATACGGCAGCCAAACACTTCTCTATTCAGACATACAAAATTAAGTTTTCTGTACGTTTAAAAAGCAAAAATGTCATGTTAAACAAACAAAATTTACAATGTACTTGTAAATCAGGTTAACTCTGCAACGTATCAAGTACCTGCAGTTCCTGCTGAAACAAAAAGGGACTTGAAATGAGTCGGCTCTTTGCAGGGTAACCCCCTTTGTTAAACAGCCAATGTAAAGAAAAATCTAGGTTAACCATTTCCAGAACATGGACATTAAGCTGTTTAGGCTTCGCTTCTGGCCCAGGGGCAGATGTTCTGCAGTCCTTCCTGCTGGCTGCCTGCCTCTGTCCTCATGGCTGCACTAACAACACAAAATGCCTCCCATGCCAGACCGTATGGGTACGTCCCCAGTGAAGGTACTAAGGGTAAAAATTGGTCCTTAAAAATATGCTGCACCCTTCTGCAAGAAAGCACTTTCACTACTGAAAGGGTCCTTGTGAGTGCCCTGTTCCCCATTTCCCTTCTCTGCCCTCAGCACCTTTTCTGACTTATCACAAGTAGCCACATCCCTGGAAATGACACTGTACAACAACAAAAGAAATTACCAAATGAAACACCTCTGATGTGGCTCTTACCCTGAAGTATAAACAGAGTAACTCGGGGAGGTACTGCAATAGAAGGTACTGTTTTGGAAACACTCCAAAGACTAAATGGAAATGGCCAAAAGACACCAGGCTTTCCCATTTTCCATTCTAGAGTGCTCTGCCAGGTAACAGATTTCCTTTCTCGATAGCAAAAGCATTTTTGCCTTATCCCTACATTTGTGCCAGTAAATACACTAATGTTTCTAATGAGCCATAGGCAGAAAAACAAATAAGATTCTTCTGAAGCTTGCAATTTGGATACGTTTGCAAAGACAGTGGCAAAAACTACTGTCCCTTTAGGACACACCAGTGTCAGCAGCAGCATCTTACCTCTCAGTACTGACTTGAGGTTCAGCTTGGCTTGTCGGTGCAGGTCCTCCACACAAGGTGGTCTTGAGGAGGGCAGGAACACATTTTCCTGCTGGTGCCAGGGAGCAGCGTAGTGCACGGTCCATCTACTCTCTTCGTCTAGGTTGGAAACAGCTGCAGAGAGAGACAGTAATAAGAAAATTGAATACTATTGTAGATAGTTATATCATGAAATCCCACACGTAAGTCTGTCGCGCATCATCTTAAAACAAAAAAGATTTTTTGCCACTGTAGTCCCATCAAAACGCTTTCAAGAACCTCACTTCCATGACAGTTAAAAACCCTCCTCTCATTTCTAGTCTAAATTTATTCTCCTGTGTTATATAGGAAACACCTTTCCCTTTTGCTGTGACCTTTAAAGGTCACCTAATCCAACCCCCCTGCAGTGAGCAGGGACATCTCCAACTAGATCAGATTGCTCAGAGCCCTGTCTAACCTGACCTTGAATATTGCCTGGGATGGGGCATCTACCACCTCTCTGGGCAACCTGTGCCAGGGTTTCACCACTCTTGTTGTAAAAAATTTCTTCCTTATTAAGAGAACAGCTTCCTCTTGCTCAAAGGTGACCCTGGGAATATGACAGTTGCCATGAGAGATTATGACAGGTCCATTTGTATCAGGAAATAATCTTCCCTGATCTCATGCTCGTTCGAACCAGGAACAAAAATTCCAGTGAAGCCAATAAATTAGCTACTTTCCATTGCCATGAGTGGAAAACAGATTTGGACAACAGCAGCTCCCTGGGCAAATGCTGCTCAGAGCACAACAGCACTGACGATGGATTGCTCTGGCCACCTCTTCTCAGCCAATACACATGTGAAAATAAAATACTGAGATTGCTCAAGTTCAAAGTTCCCTACAGACAGTCTAGTAATGAATCAGCCAAAGCACATAACGCTAAGATTTGTTTATCATTTATGTTTCCCGAGAGACAGTCATTACCTTTTGTTTAAAGTTTATCATCAATAAAAACTTCTACAGTTGAATGGCCTTATCCCTCCACTCTGTAATAGCAGGAAAAGGGCAGTTGGGGGTCATATTTTATGATTCCCCAGGCACCCTTTGGCCTTCAGCCAGCCTGCTGCACATCCTCGCTTTCAGCTCTCCAACACAGAAAAAGCCACTCCAGCCGTGCTGCCTCCCAGCCAAGCACTGGCTGGCCTGGCTGCCAGCTCCCCACCTTCCCTTTGCGCTCCTTGCTGCCCGCACAGCATCGCTTTGTGAAGTTTGTCCGATGTCTTCTGTGGTAGCAGAGGACGTGTGTAAACTGAGAAGCAAAAGGAAGGCAACAGCCTCCCGTCATCTGAAAAATGACTTTCCCTAACACGACTGTGCATCTGCCGGGATCACTGCAGATGGAAGTGATTGGTACTCGTTGAAGAAAACAAGCTATGCCTTTTGCTTCAAAGCCTATCTACAGCCTAATGCTCAATGCCTGTTTTTTCAAGATTAGTATCGGACCTTGAGAAAGGTTTTTGAAGACTTTCGATTGGTCTCTTCCTCTCTGAGGTAGCTTGGTCCTGCACCCCTTCCCCTCTTGCGGACAAGTCAGCTGCGACAAGGCCGACAGACCCTCAGTCTGCGCCTACTTTTCCCATCCTTGCTGACTAGAGGTCAAACCCAAACCACGTCAAACTGACAAGTCACCTGGTTACAGCATCAATCATCCCAGTATTACAGAAAAAGGGACAGGTACAGGCAATGACCTGCTCCTCGCCATCCACCGGCCGAGTGGGGAGGGGAAGAAGGCTGAGGGAGGAAGAGGAGGGAAACACCTGCCGCAAAGCCAGCTGCAGTCCCGCCATACCAAACAAAGTTTACTGCTCATCAGCGCAACGGTCATCAAACCTAGGCGACAGCAGTGCTGCGCACATTTGCCAACTCCTCTCTCTAGCGCTATTTGTCTGTCTGCGCGAATTGAGCGAAGCACCGCGATTTTGAAAGCCATTCTGAAACTAGAGCATCTTTAAAAAAACAGATCTGGGCTCGGAACAATCTTTATATCAGCACCTCGGAGGTACAAGCCCCCCTCAGCAGCTGCACAAGCAGTTGTCTGGCAGAGGCTGGGAGGATGCCCCAGCTCACAGCTGGACACCTCTGCACCACCGCAGCTGGCACCGCCGGGCTCAGCCCGGTCCCCCAGCTCCTCACTTCACACCGACGAGCTTGGCTCCTTCCAAAGCACCGCGACAGAGGACTTGAACACAGAATCCCGAAACAGAGGTCCCACAGCAGCTCCTATGGCTGCCTCCGCACGTTACAAAGGATTCCGCGAAGGAGGGAGTGAGATAAATGTTAAAAAGAGGCTTCAGGAAAGCAGGAGCAGAGCCGAAGGGAATTGCGCTTTCCAGCAGGACTCAGCTGCCTCCCGAGCACGCACAACCACTTACTCTTTCTCTTGAAAAGTTTCATGAGAGATTTAAGCTTTGTATTGATGAAAACCACCATTTTCAAGGTGTTGAATTGTGATCCTGGAGTGTAAATCCCATAGAAAGGAGGAGCTGGAGAAAGGTGACTCTTTTCCAGACAGCCTGTTCCGACTCTGCACACCAGATTTCTTTTCTCTTCTCCAGGCTTCTCCCCTCCGCCGTTCTTTCCCGAAATCACAACTTTAAACCTGACTAGATCTTCCTGATGCACGAAGCCATTTACAATTCTTTTAGCCTGAATTTCTCCTCCTCACATGTAACCTTGTGGGCTGAAAACACCCAGTTTCAACATGCAAAACAGGAGGAGGGGGGAAAAAAAAAGTTAATTGTTATTCACGTTTGCACAGGACCAAAAATCGGGCTTTCTCGCTAGCCCTGCATTTACTCAGCTGTTCTTCTCATCCTTTGCTCTCCCAGTCCGGCGGGTCCAGAGGAAGGACGGGGTTTGCAGGTGATCTCT